TCTCCCTTCCTCTCCCTCTCTCTCTCTCTCTCTCCCTCCCACACACACCTTCTGATTCCCCGTTCCCTCCCCCGAAACCCCCGCGTTCCAGCCGGGATGGTCAGAAGACGCCAGAGACGTGACCGGGGTGTAGCAACCCCTAGCGGGCTGGCGGAGCTGCTCGCTTTGGGCTGGGGGGGATGAAAAGGGGCCTGCGGTGGGCTGCTGGTCAGGCTGACCCGCCCCTGCCCCCAACCCCCGCGGAGGGATTCCGAAAGGGGCGGCGGCGGTCTGTGTCGCGGGGGCGGCTTACGCGACACCAATGGGAGAGGGAGGACAATGCGGGAGATGAGCAGGCGGCAGAGTGCTCCGCCCGCAATCGCAGTTGGCACTGCGCTCCCCACGTGCACCTCTGTGGTGACTTCGTTTATCACCGTTTTACACACACCCTACTTGGGTGCGAGAGTGCCGGTTGGTGGTTTTCCACACTCACTTAACGAGGCCAGGTATTTCTCCCCCCCTAACCAACTGTAAAAATATTCTTGTAAATTGATGAATTCACAATAGGCAATTGCTTTCTTAAACAATTCGTTATACAATCGGATGAATAAATCGTAACTGTCATTGTGTTAAGAATGATTCGTTAAAAGATATTGCATGTCATGTTACGAATAACCCATAAAATGGAAAGTTAACGAGCTATTTTTCCGATGACCGATAAATATACCAGGTGGCCGATTAGCCCCGATCACTTCTGTACTCGCTCGGCCCGTAAGGCGCCGTGGACAGGCGTGATAGGCAAGCCTTCCCACACTCATGCGTGCGCTACAGCATAACTAGAAGTTAGCGGGGTTTATCAGCCACCCGGTATAGCAACAACTCTGTAGTGCAAACATAAGCTCAACTCACTACATAAGATAGTCCAAAGTTCATCTTGTTGGTAACTTTTAACTTTCTACATACCATGGAAAAACAAGAACAAAATGTAATTTTAAAAATCATTTATAACGTTACGAATAACTTGTGCGGCATCAAAGCGAATCGTTCATCCGATGTCGACTCCGAACTATTTGTAAACAAAATTACGAGTGATACGTAAAATTCAGTACGTGCGAATGAATAATTTGTTGAGCCGTCTATACGACATTTGTTGAAAATTCAACGACCAAATTCTACAGTGCCGTCCGTTTTCCCCCCCCCCCCCCCCCCCACTTGCGATGCAAGAGAACGAACCTTCTCTCTCGCGCCTGCTGCAGCAGGCTCGCTGCCCGCCCACGACCACCACCCACTGCACTGCACAGTGTCCAGGACACCCACCTGGAAGCAAACAGCAAAACACTATCAGAGCGTTTGCAGATGAGCGGCACGCCGCGCACCTGGCGCGCACGTCCCGCGGGCGGCGCTGGGATTAGGGTCGGCCGGACGGGTGGGTCGCACCGGGCCGGGCCTGCGGCACAATGCATTACCATGTCAAACACTCCCCCGCCCCGGCACCACCAGCAGTTGCATTGGGTGGATTGAAATTCTCACCCGCACGCGCGGAAACGCCAAATGATGAAACAAATTTCTCACGCGGCCTGTACGCGGTGCGATAGTGCGGCGCGCGGTGTCCCCGCTCATCCCCGCTGCCCGTACTAGGACGTTTCGTCCAATATTTTATGTCCAATGAGAGTTTGTCCTACACACTACGTCCAGTATGACCTGCGTCCAAAACTCATATGTCCATCAATGTCCTATGTTCAATACTCCAATACTTAAATTTCATAGCCAAAATAGTTTTTTTTAGAGTTCACAGCCAGAGCCCTGCTCGCGCTCGCCCGGCTAGTGGCACAGTAGTCTATTGTTGAGGGTTCCCGCATGGAAAAAAGTGTTCGAGATTAATTTGCGTTGAGTCAGTGCGCAAGGTTTCTTCTTAAATCTAGTTCGGCTCGGAAGCGGCTAGGTCCCAGTCACGGTCCATATACGATTGTCACACAGGTCAGATAGAATGCAGTTACAAGTTGCCCAGGCACATCCCGGACAGTTCTCAGACATAAGTGAGTACTGGTCATAGTTAGGAATCAAACACTTCTTGTACGGAGATCGGACAGACCCCAAACCGTTTAGACAGGTAACTATTTGGCTACTGTCTGCGGAATAGGGGAGAGGGCAAAGAAGTTGGCAAACCGGTATATGAGCACCATCCGACCTCTCGGACAGTCTGCAGACATGCGTCGTGTTGGCGAGAAAAAAAGCCGCGTGCACACTGAGTAGAATCCCGGACTCTTGATTCAGTGCCACTCATCTTGCCAACTGAGCTATCTGGGCGCACATGTGGGGGACGATCGCCGGAGCAACTCTTTCGTTGCGACTGCCAGCGGCTCGTGAGCGGGCGAACGTTCCGTAGTATGCTTCTGGCCTCGGCCCCCACAGTAAATTATATCATTAAAATAAAATTTTGGACTCTGGACATATGACAAATATTGGACGTACAATATTGGACTTAAAATTCTGGACAAAACGTACTGGACATTTAAATTCTGGGACATAACAGGGTAGGACAAAAAGTCGTGGACGAAAGTGTCATGGACGAAACGTCGTAGCGCCCCGCTGCCCGCCACCCCACCGTGGCCGCCACCCCTCGCCGCCTGCAGCAGCAGCTCATCCCCCGTCTGCCTGCCGCCATGTGCCACCCCACGCCGCAATAACTGTGGAAGTGAAAGTGAATGAGGTGGCAGCTGCCGGAGCACACTTTCATCCATGAATTACAACTCCTCCTCCCCTCCCCTTCTCTCTCTCTCTCTCTCTCCGTTCTCCGCGGGGGTGGCACAGAGCAGCAGCAGCTTTCGCCCGACCTAGGTACTGTTATCTCATTGGGGACGCCAGTCGGCCCCCAGAGGCGAGGCGATCTGCTGGAAGCTTTGACGAGCCGAGCGCACCACGCTCAGCTGATTCGGGCGGAGCCGGGCCACGGCGGGTCGAGCCGAGCCGGGCCAGAGCAGCACCGACAGCAGCAGGTCCCTTATCTCACATGTGTGTCACACAAGAGCCGCGCTTTTGTTCCTGAGTGGGAGAGCATGGCGCCGCCACCGCCCAGCGTTTTCGGCGCGCGGTCTTGGCTCGACTGAAGCAGAGTCCTTATTCGCAATCCCCTTCCACCTCTCTACCCTCCTCCTCAACGTACTCAATAGCTGGTAGCCGCGCGCCCCAGGTATTCACGCCGCTGAAACCTCTCGGGAGGGATTAGCAGGCGGTGTGCCGTGCCCTGCCCGGTCTAACTTCAAAGTCTCTCTCACTTCACCGAACTCATTGTGCGTTGAAGGCGCACTTACAAGGAAATGGTAAAAAACGCTAGTAAGAATGGTGGTATAAAGTATCTATTCAAATATTTACATAAGTGTAAATTTCTGCAGCGTTATATTAGATCAACGCAAAATTGGTGTAGCTCATAAATACTAAATGCTAATTCATTTCACTTCAACCTACGCCATAAAAGCTAGTGATCTCATCACAATCCGCAAACAAGATTGCAAAACAAAACACAAAAATACGCATATTTCTTTGAAAAAGAGTAATAAAATTTAAAGTCAAGACACAAGTCAGCGTTTGGCGCCGCCGCTATTTCAACGCCAAAAACTCTTGGCCACCACTGCTCCATTACTGCAAGAATAAAAGCGCTTATCTCTTGGCCGGCTCAACGAGTGTCGCGGGTCATAATTTAATTAAGCCTCGCGCATAACTCTCCCAGGGTAGGCCGGCAGTGACGGCTGCTATCGCAGATGTCACTCATCCTCCCCGCAGCGCTGCACTAGTGTGTGGCTGAGGGCAGGATGGGAGGAGGGAGAGTACGTCTGGACCGGTCGATACGGGGGCGCGGCGGCGTCGGGGGGCGGTGGTCCTCGC